GCTTACAGTGACTACACAATCTGCTACACTCAGTCCAACCGCAAGGACATTGAAGTGTTCCCCACCTCCTGGGTCATATAGTTTGAAGTAGTTTTGTGGAAGATCCACATAACAAAAATCGCGTACTGGACCACGGCCCCGGTGTGCTTTGATGTGGATCACAGGAACGCACCGGGTATACTTACAGAAGAGAACCTCAAGAGCAGTCCTACCGACGAGAACCATTCGTTTTAAAATATCCCTTCGGCCTCCCCCATGTATATTTTCCTCCATATTGCGAACATAGGGCTGTCCATGAACACAAAATCCATGCCATCAATGTAAGCTTGAAAGAAAGTTACCTCCATATCCTGCCCATCCACCTTATACCTCTTGCGCAATCCTGTTTCTTGGGCTTCTGCATAGTTACCATACCGTGGTGCCACAACCATAACTCTATGTCCACGGTGAGCCAAAGCCTTCGGTAAAGCCCCAGCAACATCGTCAAGCCCACCTGTCTTCGACAAAGCAGTGCATTCTGTTGGTACCAATATAATGTTCGTGACATTGTCCCCGACCAAGGGAGGAGACTTTACAGTTTCATCCTTCGTGCGCTGATCCTTGGGAATAACTACGGCTGTAGGGGCAGCGATCTGTTGTTCGTTGGATGCCTCTGCCCAGTTCGGACGGCGCCTGTTTGTGTTGGCGATTTCCTCATAACTCCCTTCTTTGTTAGAGAGGAATTCTTCCAGCAGGCGTCGCATCTCCCGGACATCTTCCCTGACTTCACGAACCTCCATGCTGGTTTCTACTAGCCTATGTTCCAGTTCGTTGACCTTGGATGATAGCTGCTCCATATCGCCCGTGACGTTTGGCTCTGATACCAAATTGTTATGGGCCCGAGCGTAGAATCGCGTCACAGGTCGTTCCACGGCAGGAACCCCTGATCTTCCCTTGCCTTTGGCCTTGTGCACAAACCTTATTTTGACTATCTAGTGGGTGATTTGTCCAAGAGACCACCCGAACTCTCCTCACTCTTTTTTTGACTGAAAAACTGAATGCTTTACTTCAATTCGTAGCTCCTTAAATAGGAGATTACAGAGGGAAATTCCTTGTTGGATTCGACCAAGCTAGGGTAATCCAACTTAAACTAAAACTCCTAATGGGAACACAACTCTTACTTAAGAAGATAAAATAAGAGAAGGATAAGGGATAAGGATAAGATAAGCTAGTGGCGAGTTGGCTTGACGTGTCCAGATAAGGGTGGGCCCACCCNAGATAAGGGTGGGCCCACCCCTATGAGCTGTCGTGTGGGCCCCGCTCTGCTGCTGCTGCCGGGTGCGTGCGCGCAGCTCATGGTGCCGCTGCCGTGCGGTGCCGGGCGTGTGCACGGTGCATGCTGTCGTGCAGTGCGTGCGGTGCACGTTGCTGCCTGGCAATGCGTGGTGCGCGGTGCTGCCTGGCGATGTGTGTTGCGCGCCATGGTGTCGCTGTCGTGCGGTGCGCACTGCTGCCTGGCGGTGTGTGCTGCGTGCTATCGGCGGTGCGTGCTGTTGTGCAGCGTTGCCAGGCGGTGCCTGCTGTTGTGCGGCCTGCTGTGCGTGCTGCTGCCTATGACTGCGCCGCAGTGCGTTGCCGGATGGTGTGACCATAACAGCGCAGGTAACCGTCACAGGTACGACCCTGTCAGTCGAGAGACATTTTTTTGGAGCTGGCAGGCACGACGCCGTCTGATGAGAGACGTGGGTGCAGTCCTCTGGAATGGCAGGTGCTGCGCCGTCAAACAAGGGACGTGGGAGCAGTCTGACGGGCACGGTCTTGTCAGATAAGAAGCTTCCTGAAACCCTCGGATTGCTCAATAGCGAGCTGCCTCGTAGCGAGCTGCATGGTAGCGAGCTGCCTCATAGTGAGCTGCCTCGTAGCAAGCTGCCTTGTAGCGAGCTGTTAGGTTGGGTTTTACCAAGCTTGTTACGCCGAGCTGTAGCCAGGCTATCATGCTGAACTGCCACTTACGTTGAGTCATGTCCACGTGTCGCCTAGTCAGGAGGTCGGGTCAAATCACCCTCCATCAATTGCCTCCCACTCCTCGGGCTAAGGGTTTTGCTCTAGCACGGGGAGTTTACGAAGCGGCGGGTGGATTTGACCCGTAATTCAAACTACCTTGACTGACCACGTGAGGTATACGCGCGGATGTCACGCGACTTCTAGATTTTGTGGGCATCAAAAAATGCGCTAAACTGCCTTCGATCTCAGAGGACGTGCAACTAGTTTTATTATGAGCCGTTATATTCGCCTTAATCGA